CATGTTTCCCAAGTAATGTAGCGGATCGGCGGAAGAATTGGGTCGATTAAAAGGAATTCCTAATCCAGGGAACCAAATACAAACTTAAAGCTTTAAAAGAGTATATAATTCATCAATACCTCATCCTACTATTATATTTATATTTATAAGCTAACCATAAAACCTTCTAGAAGGCATGTAACAAATTGATAAGCTATTCCTAAGGTATGCCATAACTAAGATGTTCCTACATCACCAACTCTCCTATACCAGTAGTAACTTAGCTTGGGAGTTATTTCTAGCTTACGTTGTTGGTACTCACTATAAGAGCATGGGGTACCTCACCTTCTCCGCTGAGCTGCTACATCTTTTATTTCTTTTTGGCTTTTATACTTTAGTTGCTCTTATGCATGGAATGATCCTACTAGAGATGATATTTCCTCTCTTTTTTGTTTTGCCGAAGGAGTATTGTATGAGTTTCTATACTAGCCTGTACTTTTTGAAATCTTTTTGAACTTTTAATTATTTTATTTATTGTACCTTTTGTGCATGGTTGGATGTTGATTCCTCAAGTGCAGTGCAAATGCAACTATTAATTTTCATGGAAATTCATCTCCTTATATGTGAACTTTAGGCCTAACTATTTGTATTTTTTATGCTCTTGTTCTATATAATTCAATATTCTCTTGTGAATATGATTAATTTTAGTCATAGCAATTACTACCAACTTTCTTATTGTGGCGTCAATCATGATCGAATTGTATTGATTCTCTCATTGAATTTCTTTGCTTTAATCATCATTTGCTACAGACTATTTGCATGTTTTTTATTGCATCAAATGAATATTTTCTACCGATTAAACAAACTAATATTAGCTTGATTGCATCAAAAGATTATTTTCTACAATATGATTACCTGCTGAGAACATTTTCTTCCAATAAACAACAAATGCAACATTTATTTTCAGCCGAATTATTTGAAGAGGTTATGGTTCTCTTGCGTGCAGGGTGGCAAGAAAATCATTGGTCAGGATTGGGGTTCTACATCATCTACTGGATCACCTCAACTCAAATCATGCATTAGCAGATCATTCCAGACTTATGTTGGAAGTACGTGCAATTAAGCACACACTTTTTTTTGTTTTATCACTTGTCATCTCAATTTCCTACGTTCTTCACCAACAAGAATTACCATCGCTTCTTTTGGGATGGCTCTCTTACTGCTTCGTAAAGCAGCTTTTAAATAGTAAAATTTTATTTTTTTTGTGTAACAAAATTGCTTTAAGAAGCAGCAAGAAAGCCGTCCCAAACGAAATCATTTAATCTAAAGCTAGCTTATGTAACACAGCACAAAAACGTGAATGCAATGCCCTTATTGAGAGATTATTCTGTGCGAACACCTTACACTGCTTATTGTTCAGAGACGAATCAGGTGCAACCACGTCATCCGATACCAAGCAGTATCGAGTAGGGGGTGGCGTGGCGTATTTTCATTGGGCTCTAGACGGCGTTCGACGTCTGCACAGAATTATTATATTACGACTCTAAACACTGATTTACTGGATACTGCAGGTTGATTACTCTCCATAAGGAATGAATTTCATTTTTGTAGCAAGAGTTTTTATCGAGCGGGCCGCAGCTGTAGCATAGACTGGGCACTGTGCGGTCACCCATTTTTTAAGGATAATAATCACCCGTTGAAGAAAGAGTATCTTATGAGCAGAATGGAGCAATTTTCTTTCATTTTTAACCATCAACTCAAAATGCTGTTGCATGAAGCGAAGTATATGGCAAAATGATGGATGGTCATGGGTCGACATTCAGGCTCATTTGGGACAGCTTTTTTAATGATTTCTAAAGCATTTTTTTAGTACAAAAATTTCTAGTTCAAAAAATTTTTGTACAGAAAATTTTTTACAGAAATTTGTATTAGAAAATTATTTTAGAAAATAGTAAAAAAATTATTCCAAAGCTGATGTTATTGTGCCGAGTGCCCCATTTGCTTACTGAAAGGGTGGTTTTTCCAGTGAAAAGAACAAAGAGTTCTTTGAAAATGATTATGTTTTCGGCTTGTTATGTTTTGTTCAGCTTAATTCATACTTCTTATAAATATTTAGTTAGTGTAGATCTGCTGGCTTTAAGTTTTAGCCAAACAGGAAAGCTTTATAGGAAAGCTTGATTGAGGCTTTCTTCTCTTCTCATTTTGATAATGAATCTGGTTATTCTTTTTTGGTTAGCCCTCATTTGAGCAATTAATAGGTACGTCATAATGTGCATTTACATATTTTTTTTTTATCCCAAGGCTTTATTAGATATTTCATGCTGAAAATTTTCTTGGCATTTTGGAGGAGCACGGCGAGTGATTGGCCCATCATTTACCTCTGAAAATATTTTATGTTTCTCTCAAAAGTAGAAAAATCTTTAAAAAATGAACTAAACATATTTTTTTTTTATCCCAAGGCTTTATTAGATATTTCATGCTGAAAATTTTCTTGGCATTTTGGAGGAGCACGGCGAGTGATTGGCCCATCATTTACCTCTGAAAGTATTTTATGTTTCTCTCTCAAAAGTAGAAAAATCTTTAAAAAATGAATAAACATTTATTTGGGATGATTATACTTTTTTTATAAAGTTGATTGTGAAATTGTGTAAAGGAAAAAATAGCAACTTAATTATTTTGGTTGTAAAAAATAAATTTTCATTAAAAAAATAGTAAAAAATTGAGCCCGGCGGCGATGGCGAGACTGTTAGAGTTCGGTTGGTAGAAACGAAAGTTGGCTAGGCACCCTGGACGTCGTGTGCAGAGAAATCGTGAGAGGTTTACTGAGAGAGAAGATCACCACCTGAATCGCCACTATTCAGGATACAGAACACAACACCACCACCTGAACGATAAGTGTCAGGATACAGGAAGAATCTCTAAACAGAGAAAATATATAATGCAAAAAAGCCTTCTCCTCTTTATTATCACTGTTCTATTTATACAAACAAAGAAAACCATCCTACGCTAGAGGATAAAGGAAATAGAGGCAACAGCTAAAACGCTACAGGAGCAAAACAGGGAAAAACAGACTATTGGTAATAACCAAGAAAATATAGACAACTTGACACATAACGCTAAGCTCCGGCGTCATTCTCCCGGTGTTGGAAGGGCTTCAAGCTCATAATGAGGCGTGAGATCAGCCACATTAAAGGTAGCAGAGACGTTATAGTTGTCGGGAAGATCTATCTGGTAGGCGTTTTCATTGATTTTTTTTACAATTCTGAATGGGCCATCAGCTTTGGGTCGAAGTTTGCTAAAAGCTCCGGGGGCGAATCTCTCCTTCCTCAGCCGAATTCAGACCATATCTCCTTCGTTAAACACGACCTTTTTTCGTGATTTGTTAGCTTGGCGTTGATATTTAGAATTCTGTTTTTCAATGGTCTCTTGAACTTGCTTGTGCAAGCGTTTGATCTCAATGCACCGTTGTTCACCATCCTTTGAGTAAGTCCTTGGTTGTGTAGCCGGGACTAAGTCGAGTGGAGTGATGGGGTTACACCCGTATGCGACCTCGAAGGGACTTTTACTGATAGATTGATTAGTGGATCGGTTGAAAGCAAACTCGATCTGAGCTAGTATTAAGTCCCACTGACGTATGTTTTTACCTACAAAACATCGCAACAAATTTCCCAAACTACGATTAACTGTTTCTGTTTGGCCATCAGTTTGGGGATGTGCCGCTGATGTATATTGCAGTCGTGTTCCCAATTTTCCGCATAGCGTCCTCCAAAAGTGACTTAAAAACTTAGCATCTCTGTCAGAGGTGATGGTTTGAGGAATTCCATGGAGCCGGACAATCTCTCTGAAATACAAGTCAGCAATGTGAGTGGCATCTAAGGTTTTATTGCACGCCACAAAGTGTGCCATTTTGGAAAACCTGTCAACCACAACCATAATGGAATCTTTATTTCTCTGGGTTCGTGGTAAGCCTACCACAAAATCAAGGCTGATATCTGTCCATGGCGACTGAGGTACAGGCAAGGGTAAATACAACCCTGCGTTCGTGGTCGTGGTTTTTGCTCGCCGGCATATACAACAACTTTGAACATATCTTCCCACATCGCGTTTGAGTAATGGCCAGTAGAAATTTTCAATCATGTGGGCTAGTGTCTTATCCCTGCCGAAGTGACCCGCCAGTCCTCCTTCATGACATTCCCGAATCAATGCTAGGCGGGTGGAGCATCTAGGAATGCACAGACGCTTATTGAAGAAGAGAAATCCTTCTTTCATGTGGAATAGCTGAACAGGTCCCGCTTGGCATTTACTCCATATCATTTTGAAGTCAGCGTCCGTACTATATAATTCTTTTACTAGATCAAACCCAACAATCTTAGTATGTAAGGTTTGTAGCAGCAGGTGTCTTCGACTCAGTGCATCAGCAGTTTGATTGCTCCGCCCAGATTTGTGTTTGAGGACAAAGTGAAAAGCTGATAAAAATTCAGACCACATGGCGTACCTCACCTTTAATTTCTTTTGATTACTAAGGAAACGAAGAGCTTCATGATCGGAGAAGAGAACAAACTCGTTGGCAAGGAGATAATGATTCCAATGATGGAGAGCTCGAACTATAGCGTAGAATTATTTATCATAAGTAGAATACTTTCGTCGAGTGTCATTTAACTTTTCGCTAAAGAATGCAATCGGATGACCTCCCTGACTTAGAACTGCCCCAATGCCTACGTTGGAGGCATCACAATCGACCTCAAAAACTTGATTGAAATCAGGAAGAACTAGTGTGGGAGTTGTTGACAATTGCAGTTTTAACAACTCGAAGCTGGCCTGTGCAGTCTCGCTCCACCGAAACCGATCGAATCGCAGAATTTCTGTCATGGGGGCAGCAATCGTGCTAAAATTCTGTATAAATTTTCTGTAGAAGGAAGCAAGGCCATGGAATCGCCGAATGTCAGTGAAGGATTGTGGCACCGGCCAACTCTGTATGGCCTCAACTTTAGAAGGATCTGCTTCCAACCCTGCAGCAGAAATATTATACCCCAAAAATGAAATCTGGCTAGTGGCAAATTGGCATTTTTGCACATTAGCAAAGAGCTGCTGCTCCCTTAACAGATCAAGGATTTGTCTCAAATGTTGTTTGTGGTCATGTAGGTTGGAACTGTAAATAAGAATATCGTCAAAATATACTACCACGAATTTGTTCAAAAAAGGTTGGAGAATATGATTCATCAATCTCATAAAAGTGTTTGGTGCATTAGAGAGCCCAAAGGGCATCACTGTCCACTCATAAAGCCCTTCAGGTGTTTTGAATGCAGTCTTCCATTCATCCCCATGCCTCAAGCGAATTTGGTGGTATCCGCTTCTAAGATCGATTTTTGAAAAAATGGTGGCGCCGTGTAACTGATCAAAAATGTCATCGATGCGAGGAATAGGAAATCGATATTTAACCGTGATTTTGTTCACCGCCCGACTGTCAATACACATTCTATATGTGCCATCTTTCTTTGGAACGAGTAAAGCCGGTACAGCACATGGGCTAGCACTAGGACGCACAAACCCCTTGGACAGAAGCTCTTCAACCTGCTTTTTTAATTCAATTTGCTCATCAGGTCTCATTCGATATGATGGTTTATTTGGAATAATAGCACCTGGAATGAATTCTACTGCATGCTGAACCGCACGTTCAGGTGGCAAGCCAGGCGGAATCTCCTCAGCCAAGACATCAGTATATTCTTGCAATAATTCATGCACCTGAGAGGTTTCATAAGGAGCCGTAGTGTTTTCTTCCATGAGGAGTAAGACATAACCTATAGTAGCTTCCTGTAATGCTTGTAAAAACATAGATTGTTTTAACAGCGGACTGTCAAGGGCGGTCTCTTCCTGGTTATTATCCAACGGCGTCAATACAATCTGTTTTCCTTGATACTTAAAAGAGTAGGTATTGGCTCTACCGTCATGTGTGGTCTCTTTATCATATTTCCAAGGGCGGCCAAGTAGGATGTGGCAAGCATCCATGGGTACCACATCGCACCAAACACGATCTTCAAACTTCCCAATGGAAAAATTAACAAGACATCGTCTCGAAACTTGGACATCACTGTTCTTTTGTATCCATGACAAGCGATACGGATTGGAATGATTTTCCGTGGGCAGTTGTAACTTTTCCACCATGAATGTTGAAACCACATTCTCACAGCTGCCACTGTCTATAATTACCTGACAAACTTTTTGATTCACAGTACATCTTGTTTTAAAAATATTATGCCTCTGACCTTCTTGTTTCTTATGAACATTTAGTAGTCGTTGAAGGACTAGCAAGCTCCCTTCATCAGCAGAAATAACAGTAGTTTCAAAAGGTTCAGATGGATCGCCAGGGGGCAACTTCTTGTTCGTGGGAGGCATCTTGCTCTTGCTCCAAGTCTTCTACCAAAGTAACCATGCGGCGATTGGGACATCCAGAGGCTATATGGCCAAATCCCTGACATTTGAAGCACTTGCGAGCTGGCAATCCTGTGAAATTGGTTCCAGTAGTTTGTCGACTAGAACCAGGGAGGGATGCATCTTCTTTGTTCTGACTGATGGTTCCCGTGAATGGCTTCTTGCTATCACCCTTCCCATCAGGTGGACGAATCAAGAACCGATCCTGAAATATTTTGCCGGTGCGTTGTTGCTTTTCTACTTTCAATGCAAGATTGATAACATCTTGCAATGTCCAGTAGGGCTGCAATTGTACCACGTTTGCAATGGATGTCTTCAGTCCACCCAAGAATCGTGCGATTGTGTTCTCTTCGGCTTCCGATAAATCGCATTGTAAGGATAATTGTTCAAATTCTGCAATGTATTCTTCTACTGTGAGATTGTTTTGTTGTAGGCGATGGAACTTCAAGAATAGATCCTGACGGTAATGATCGGGCAAATATTTTCGTCGTAGTTCTTTCTTCATCTTGTCCCATGTAGTGATTTTACTCTTTCCTTCACGGTTTCGGTTTCGCTTCACATTTTCCCACCAGAGGGATGCGTTTTTCTTCAATTTGATAGCGATTAATTTCACAATTCGATCAGCAGGAACGTCCTTGAAATCAAGAATCCGTTCCACGGTTTGTAGCCAAGTGACAAACTCAGCGGGATCCATTCGTCCATCGAAGTCAGGTAACTCGATCTTGACGCCCCAGTCGTTCGTGTTGCCTCTTCGTACACGCATTCGTGACCGATCATCCTCGACTTCATCACTAGAGGATTCTTGA